TAAAGCCATTCCCCTTGGCCTGTCCCTACATCCCTTGTCCCAAGTCCCTCTCCAGCTTTCCTGCAGCCCTTTTGGGCACTGAGTGCCTTGAGTCTTGAGTCTTCGTATTGAGGACTTGTATTTAGGACTCTTGTAGGGCAGGCTTGAAGGGAAAATCCCCAAAGCCACATCCTGCAAGGTTGAGTAGTGTACTCGTAATGAAAAGGAAGCAGATGGCTGCGGAGAGAAACCTTGTAATGGAGCTACAAGTGTTTTTTCCCCTTTGTTCCTTTGATACTCTGTTTCTCAAGGAACAACAGCAAAAAGGATCAGTTCTTCTGGTTGCATTCGGATAACAAAGGCCACTGAGCTTTCCATAGTGGAGGTGGTCTCCTAGGCTGCCTGATGGGCAACCTCAGCCCAGTTAAAGCAGCAAACATAGGTCACTGACCTGAACCTGAACTTGAACGTGGAAAGCTGCCGTTGCTGCTAAGATCAAGCAGCCTGGAGACAGCGTTGCCGTCGGGGCAGCTGGGATTGCTGCCGTGTCAGAGCACGGTGGGGTGTTCCTGTAGAGCCGGGAGGCTGCCAGGCTGCTCTGCTGCTCGCGGGGATGCTGAAAGTCGCTGTGCTGGGAGGGGGTTTCAGCTCCATGAACCGAATGCTTTGTGTGTTATTGCTAAACGTAATGTTAGCTGCGACCAGACGTTCGCTTTCTTACCTTCTGTTTTTTTTATCGGTGCATTAAGCACAGAGCCAAGAGATTGATAGCCTTGTATAATAGGGGCAGTTTTACAGAATAAGACCAAAATGCACTTGCTTTCATGTAAACCACACCAAAAGGTAAGGGGATTTTTCTTTATTATGACTTGATTTTTGTCCCTCGAGGCCTTTTTGCCTCCCCTGTAGCCCCAGGTCCCTCCGTTTTGAGAGGGCACGCCGCAGTGTCGCCTGGGCTTTGATGTGGTTTCTAAAGTGTGCCTCTTCATTGGGCTCCCTACAGATGCCTTGATGTGAAACAGAACATTAAAATCCAAATGTGCCTGCTCTGCAGGTCATTTTTCATCCTTTATGGGCGACGTCAACTCCATTGCAGAGCTGTTCTGCTGCACCCCCGGCTCGGGAAGGTGAGGGTAACGACGTGGGGGTAGGAGAGGGGAGTTCCTTGGCGGTTAAGCCCAAGTTTCTCCTTAGTTGCTTCCTTTGGGCCTCTCCCCAGCTCTCTCTTTCTCTCAAGGTGAAACTGAAACCTCGGTGACTTCACCCAAGCCTGCTGAATTTAAAGAAAACTTGATATTTCTCACTTATAGGTCACTTCAGTCCAGATTGTTTCCTGCCAAGAGAGGGGGTAGGGGGAATGCCCTCCTCTAAATGGAAAAGCAATTACTATTTCTTCTGGCGTGTACGTTGTGTCGTTCCAGCGTAACACCTAAGTTATGGGCTCAGCTCCCGACTCCTCGGGCTCCCCGATGGATAGCGATGGGCTGTGCCCATCATGCAGGAGGTGGGGTTACATGCTGAGATGTGCGCCAGCCTGCTGGAAGGGAATGAGCATCCACTGGCTTAGTCTGAGGCCGTTTGTTGGTCTTGAAGGTAGAAATCCCTGGAAAAGCCCTTCTAGGTTAGAGCTGCTTCCCCTGTCCTTTCCCAGATTCTTAAGGTAAAAATTGCACTTGGTGGGCTGGAAAGCATTTGTGCCATTGGGAGCATCTCTGTGGCTGCTGCTGGTGGGTCTTTGGGAAATATTTTGGGAATTATTGGGAATTTGTGGACATACTTTTTTCCCTTTTTTCTTTTTCCCAGTAGGGTCTCAGACTTTTAGTTCAGGTCAGAATTCTTCCCTTGATAAACTGTAGTGTATTTGCATTAAAAGTATGAAAAATGGCTTTAAACTAGAAGGGAGATCGAGGTGAGCTCTTGGGCAGAAGCTCTTCCCTGGGAGGGTGCTGAGGCGCTGGCACAGGGTGCCCAGAGAAGCTGTGGCTGCCCCATCCCTGGCAGTGTTCAAGGGCAGGTTGGACACAGGGGCTTGGAGCAAGCTGCTCTAGTGGAAGGGGTCCCTGCCCGTGGCAGGGGTTGGAGCTGGAGGAGCTTTAAGGTCCCTTCCAACACAAACCAGCCTGTGACTCTATGAAGATGTAGTGTTGGAATTTGGGTGTTGAGCTCCTTGGCCTAGAGCGATGGCTTTTTCTAGAAGGACAGATTTTCTTGACTTTTGGGTTTTCTCAATAGCAATATTTATCAGGTCTTATCAATATTTGATTGGGATTTTATCAATCTTGACATCTGCTCAGTACATATCACCTACGACTGTGCCTCTGTTGTGAGCACAGCTGGAGCTGAAGGAAGACATTAATACCTCTTGTTTGTAAAGGGATGGGGGACTGAGGTGATGTGCCTTCTCAGAACATGTCCACCAGCTCCTCTGGGGAGACTAGTTCTGTGTTCAGCCTAAAATGCTGAATATCACATGCTTCAGGCTTCGGCAGTGAAGTTCAGGGCTGGCGGCAGCATCCTTCAGCTTGTCAGGCCAGTTTTTCCCTCTCCCATGACCACTCTTCTCGCTATGGTCTTGCTACACCCTGTTTAATGTTCCGTTTCAAGCACAATGTTTGATCCAAAAGTTTGCATTTTCCCATTCTTTGATTTCTTCCCTTTCTGGAAGAAAAAAGATTACATAAATCTGAGAGGTTTTATTGAGGACACTGGGCTTGCTTTTGGTGTAATTTACAGTGGATTCAGTGTTACAACTTCATTACGCTTCAGTTGAGTAACTTATGTCATAAATGGGTGTATCTGAGAGTGGAATCGAGCCTCGAACCTCTTTGTTGTGTGTGCTTCAGAAGGACCAAAGGCTCACCCCCCTTTTTGAAGTCCTAATTCTCTTTCTATGATGTTGCAATGTCTTTCTATAGAGTTGTGCTTCTGAAGTTTGAGATTCCTAATGCAAAAACATCCCACTTCCCCCCCCCCCATTTCTTCAAGTATTGACATTGTTAGCGGACCTTATCCTCAGCAGTGCTCACACAGCCCTTTTCCTGGGGCTTTGTTGCAGAAATCCCTCTTGTTGAGACTCATCTCTTAAGAGATCTTGTAAATAAGCTTGGTTGGTAGTCCCCTTGTTCTGCCATTCCTTCCCTTGTAGGAACGCTTGTGGTGAGCATCAAGGATACTACTGCTTTCCAACCACTAGAGGTCAAGATTGTGCTATGGCACAGCGCAGGGCTGCCCCATGTAAGGTTTAGCTCCAGTTCTGGTGCATCCATGGCCAATCTGAGCTAATATATGTGTAATTTTATTATTAATTGCCGTGTTCATTAACTAAGATGAGGCTGGTTGAGTGTTCATGGTGTAAAGAGCACTTTGCCTTACGCAAAGGTAGGATTTTACCTGGTTGGGATATCTGTGCTGTGCTTGGCTTTTAATGTTCTTCAGCTCTAGAAACTACACAAGTGATCTGTCTCTGATGGGGTCTTTCTTCCCAAGGAGGGATTCAAAAGGGAGTTGAGCTGAAAGACCCCTGTCAAAATAAAACTTGCTCATAACTTGTTTTTGTGTGATATTTGTGCTTTTAAGTGTTGAAAAGGACTTAGTTTTGAAGGTTTGCACTCCAGATACAGAGCTTTCTGATTTCTGCAGTTCAGGTAGCAAAAGTAATCATTAAGATGATTTATTTTTAGTAGGTTCCGCTCATTTTAATTCTCCATTGTTTTCCTGGCAGGGTTGGTTTCACTGACAACCGTACCTACAGTGCATTTCCAGTGTTCCTTCTTCCTTCTAAAGCCAGGCTGTCACGTTAGCGAGGGGCAGGGGATGGTCCTTTTTGCCACCTTGTTTGTCTCCTGTTACAGGGGTGGAATAAAATACCTGGTGCAGGTTTGACTTGGGCTGTAGAAATAGAGTTTATGTTAATAACTAATATATATATATGGATATATATAAAACACATTCCTTTTTTAGAAGAACCCTACCCTGTAAAATAACACTTTCAGAAAGACATCTGGATGAGTTCCAGGCACCTTTCTTCTTATATATAAAAAATATATAGAAAAGTACGTGAGGAATCCTATAAACCTGCGTGTATACATCCATATAAATTTCAGGTTCACAGCGTGTTTAGTTTCCAGTTACACCAGAGCATGAGCCCACATGTGCAGACCCAGCACAGCCTTTGGCTTGGCCTTTTTCCCCTTGTTTTGGCCACCATCAGGCACTTGTGGCTGCATGGCTCTCTGTGCCGTCCTCCCTCCTTGCCCTTCCCCATCAGCTGGAAGTTATCTTGGTCAACTCTCATGAACAATTGGGGTGAAACCACTTTTTCTATCAAGTATTAGGGTCCGTAACAGTGATAAAGCCAGGCTAGTTTCTGCAGCTGAGCACATGTGTTGACCTCTGCTGCAGATGAACTTCCAAGCCCCAGGAGCAGATATCAAGAGTGACTGGAGGGAGCTCCAGTGGTTCCATGGGTTTCCCTCCCTGAATCCCGGCGCTGCTCCTGGCGAGTGAATTTTTGTTCCATACCTTTTACAGCTCATTCTGTACATCAGCAACGTCCAATTAAGCTCTCCTGGGGTACCACAAAAATGCTTTCAGGAACCTCTGGGGTCCAGATGTGGAATGTTTTGTGCTGACATGGGTTGAAAAGAGGAACAAATCCAACGGTTAAGTACGTCCTTTAATTTAGCCTGTGACAGTCACCACATGGCCTATGGGCTAATATTTCTGCATCTGTGCTGTAAATAGATCAATATGGCAGTATGATGGGTTTGGCATTTTGATTTGTGAAGAGTCAGAATATTGTTTGTATTGTTGCATAATCCCTGGAATGGTTTTGAAAGGAATCTTCTGCTGCTTTGGAGTATCTGGGTTAGGGAAAACATACCGTTTCGAAGTTGCATTTAGTGTGTGGTTTATTTTGTCTCATTTGTTCTATTTCGTGACTGATTGCATCTTCGGGCTGAAAACCAGTATAAAATAAGGGGATGCCACTATAAAAGGTGAAATCTGCTTCTTTTTTCTAGGCACAGCAGCAACGAAACCTGGACAATATTGTATCACAGCATCCGAGGATAAGTGGGGGGAAGAAGTCCAAGAAAGAAGCCTGCGCAAGCTCAGAACTGGAGGTAAAAAACACTAGCCCCATGTCTGAGCAAGATTCGGGTATCCTGGATGTTGAAGATGAGGATGAGGATGAAGAGGTAACTGTATAACATCAAATCCAGGAGACTGGGCAGTTTGGGGGTGAACGGTAGCGTCTCAAACAGTGTTTGCATCTCGTCTTTCCTGTTGCTATGAAGCATGTCATAAAGATGCAGAACAGGCTGTAGGACATGGGGTGTGATCCAGTATTGGATTATTTTACCCCATTGTCCCTGTTCTTGTTAGCAAGCTCAGCAGAGGGGTTGAGTGTTGGATAAGAACTGAACAGCCCATGTCTTCTGTCCCCCAGCACAGGGGTTGCTTACTTGGGCAGCAGTTTGGTATCCATCCTTCATTTAGGAAAAGATAAATTCACAGAATCCCAGCCTGGTTTGTGTTGGAAGGGACCTTAAAGCTCCTCCAGCTCCAACCCCTGCCACCGCAGGGACCCCTTCCACTAGAGCAGCTTGCTCCAAGCCCCTGTGTCCAACCTGGCCTTGAACACTGCCAGGGATGGGGCAGCCACAGCTTCTCTGGGCACCCTGTGCCAGCGCCTCAGCACCCTCCCAGGGAAGAGCTTCTGCCTAAGAGCTCATCTCAGTCTCCCCTCGGGCAGGTTAAAGCCATTCCCCTTGGCCTGTCCCTACATCCCTTGTCCCAAGCCCCTCTCCAGCTTTCCTGCAGCCCCTTCAGGCACTGGAGCTGCTCTCAGGTCTCCCCTTCAGGAGCCTTCTCTTGTCCAGGCTGCCTCAGCCCAGCTCTCTCAGCCTGGCTCCAGAGCAGAGCTGCTCCAGCCCTCGCAGCATCTCCATGGCCTCCTCTGGACTTGCCTCACGTGTCAAGAGACTGGTATTTTTAGCTACCCTGGTAACTGAGTTAGGCGATATTTGTTGCCCTGAACTTGCCAGCCCATAACCAGCCAGGCAAGTAGATGAAAACCAAGTTTCTGACATTTAAAATAGTGCAGGTTGCTCAGGTAGCTCTGTGCTCATGTCCTGCCTTCTCCCCTGCCATTCACTTCTCTCCTCTTCATCCCTCTTTTGCTTCTACAGCAGCATGAGGGGATCACTGATTCCTTCACCAGGACCAAGCTGCAGGGTGCAACCCCAAAGCCCATGCACTGCACTGAAGCATCTGTGTGGGCTGTTTATTCCTGCAGCAGAATGGAAGTAGAGACAAGTTATAAAGAAAAATGAGTGGAAAGAGCACTTTTTTTGTAAAAAGACATTGATTTGAATAGATTAATTTTGATATTTTCCTGTTAAAAACTAAAAATATGGTTCTTGGGGGATTGGAACCAGATGATCTTAAGGTCCTTTCCAACCCTAACAATTCTATGATTCTATGATTCTTAAGTAGTTCTTGTTCTTTCTTGCTTCCAGAATCTCTCCCTTGCTGTGGAGTGGATTCTGGCAAAACTGTGTGGTGGTGTGAAATGTAACCACGCTTGTTGGGCAGGCAAAGTTTTTAGTAGAATTAGGAATTAGAATGGCGTTTCAATTAGAAGTGAAAGGTGTAAGGAAAAGTTGAAGGAGATATTAAGGAGGGAAGAACTTGAAGACATTTAGAATAGCACAGTTGGGAGTTGTGTTCATCCCAGTGGTGTAACTCATCTCCATGCAGGTGAAATCCCACCCTGTGCTGTGTTTAAAGCCAGGCTGGTAGTAAATGGATGGACTTCCCGTAGGGATCGGGTTGTCGCAGAGGATGTGGTGGGGCTGGAGGGACTGATGGGGCCGGGGTGGTGGCTGCTGTCCGTGGTGATGAAACCGAGCTCAGAGGGGGCAGCACCGCAGGAGCCCCCAGCTGCCTGGCCTGTCTCTGTGGAGCCTCATTGCCAGTTCCTCTGCTTCTTCTTCACCTATTGGCTTCGGCAGGAAAAGGGAAGGACAGGGTTTGGGTTCCTAGAAAGCCTGGGCTGCACCAAGAGAAGTGTGACCAGCAGATCAAAATAGGTGATTCTACCCCTCTGCTCTCTTGAGACCCTGCTTGCAGTACTGTGTGCTGTTCCTTCCACTGGAGCAGCTTGCTCCAAGCCCGTGTCCAACCTGGCCTTGAACACTGCCAGGGATGGGGCAGCCACAGCTTCTCTGGGCACCCTGTGCCAGCGCCTCAGCACCCTCACAGGGTGGTGAACTTCTCATAAGAACTTCTGCCTAAGATCTAATCTAAATAGAAGGAAGAGGTGTCCCACTGTAGAATGAAGTCTGTAGACAAGTAAAGAGATGATTATGAAGCATCTTGAGATTGTAGTGGTAGCTTTTGCTCTTGACCAGTCACAGCCGATAAAGCCAACCAGAAACTGCAGGTTTCTGTTTGGAAGACAACCAGTGAAGACTCGTTGAATATGGAAATGGAAGAAGGAAAGGTACCTTGCACTGAATCCTGCTTGGAATTGAAAACGGGATGTTCCTAGGTATTTCTCATTAAGTTTAGGTAGGAGAGCTGCTGATCCTGGTGCACAGGCTGGAAAAAAACAGAGTAATACGTATTTTTTCCTCTAGGAAATATCTGGGGCCCTTCAGCAGGCTGTGTTGTCCTCTACCTATGCTGGATGAACTGTTCTGGAGATCCTATGCTTTCTCACCACATGGAGCAATCCCTTCCTCACTGCAGCAAAATTAATGGGATAAGCTTTGAAAGGGAAGAAAGAACATACTGTTCTTTGCTCATCCTGTTGCATGTAGCTCATTTGCTTGGAGTAGCACGAGAGAGAGCTCTGCCAGCTGCATTCAAGGGTACAAATATGGGATGTGGTTCTCCGCTCCATTAGCATTCTGCAGTTTGGAGACATTATGGTCCAGACTTAAGTGTAGATGCCTCACTGAGGTGGAAGCTCCCGTTGTAATCAGAGTGAGGGAGTGGGCACAGCTGTAACTGGGCTGGGAGAAGGCTCAAATTCAGTTTTCATGAATGTCAAGTTGCAGAAGGAGAATTTGCATTTCACAGTGAGTAGCTCCACAGTCTGCTCAATTTGTGCCAGCTGTTCCCTTTGTAGTAAAAAGCATCCAGCAAACTACAAAGCTCATGCAGCTTCTTCTCATTTTCAGTGACTTTTCTTTTGGATCTGGTGGAATACAGCAGGACAAATTTGCCTGCGTCGTGCCTCATTTCTTCTTGTCCCCCAGAAAGGCTGCTCAGGTGGCTGTGAAGTGGTTGGGCTGAATTGGACTCCCTGGTGCTCCTCTGTGAGAGTGGGAAAGTTCTCAGGAAGGACATTGCACTTTGGAGTAATGGCTGTTGAATTGTCTTTGAAGAACAAGTCAAGGACTTCCAGATGGTTTTCTATCTGGAGAAGGAGTTTGGCACTCAGGAAGGACATCAGCAGGTGTGAGGTGTAGCCATAATTCATCATGCTTCTGGCTGTAGGAATAAGTTGTGCTTCTCCAAGTGAGTGTAACAGATTTCTTACAAAGGTTTGGGAGCTGGAGCAGGCACCCCAGAGTGCTCTTCTGGCTTTCCCTGGTAAGTGACTCTGTTAGATGCTGTCAACCTCCACCTTTTTGCTTGCTTCCCACCACTATTACACAAGAAGCATCTTGGACCCGGAGAAAAACCTCTCCATTTCCAGACAAAGCTGTCTGCCTGTTGTCTGTAACGGGAGCCAGAGTGAGATCAGTGAGTCTACAGGACCATGTGGCCACTCCCAGTGTTAGTCTTGTGAGCATCTTCATCACCATACAAATACATCCATTTTATTACCCCTTAGGTTAAGCCATTGGGCATGCTGGGGCAGTCAAAGGATGATCACACAAGACATAGGAGATTGACAGCACAGTTTGTTCTGTACCTCTGTTCAGCATGAGAAGTATCCAAGATGGGATTTGCTGAATCATAGAATAGTTTGGGTTGGAAGAGACCTTAAAGCTCATCCAGTTCCAACCTGCTGCCAGGGGCTGGGGCAACTTCCACTAGGCCAGGTTTGGCTTGTTCAGCCTGGAGAAGAGGAGGCTCCAGGGAGACCTCAGAGCAGCTCCAGTGCCTAAAGGGGCTACAGGAAAGCTGGAGAGGGGCTTGGGACAAGGGCCTGGAGGGCCAGGCCAAGGGGAATGGCTTTAACCTGCCAGAGGGGAGACTGAGATGAGCTCTTAGGCAGAAGCTCTTCCCTGGGAGGGTGCTGAGGCGCTGGCACAGGGTGCCCAGAGAAGCTGTGGCTGCCCCATCCCTGGCAGTGTTCAAGGCCAGGTTGGACACAGGGGCTTGGAGCAAGCTGCTCTAGTGGAAGGGGTCCCTGCCCGTGGCAGGGGTTGGGACTGGAGGAGCTTTAAGGTCTTTTCCAACCCAAAACATTCTATGAATCTATGATTAGTCCTTTTGTAGGGCTGTGGCTTTATTTGGAATAGATGGTCGGTTCTTTTCCTTAGAATATATTGTAGGTTTATACCCTGCATAAAATCCTAGCACAGGTTTTGGGTGCATGTCTTTCTGTTTGCAAAAGCTTTCTTATGGCCCAGCACTCCACGTCTGATAGTGTTCTGCTGAGATTGGCAATTCTAAAGCTGTTAATGTCTCGGAGACGTTAACTGCAGAATAGTCCAGCCTGTTTCTTTGTGAGTGTGTGTGTGGGCTTAAAAGTTTTCGGAGAAGATCAGAGACTGTGAAAATGTTGCAGTCTGCTTTGAAAGAATTTCTCTGGGGGAGTAAAGTCTGGTCTTGGCAATATCCTGATTTCACAAATCTTTATCAGAAATATTTCTCTATGGGCCCTGTTCAGCCAGTGCCCCAAATCCAAGAGGAGCAAAACCGTTTGATCCTGAATTCAAATTCATAGGAAAACATCGTTTGCTTTGATCATGCTCTGAAGGGATGACAGATCTCTCCTCCCTTTGAAAAACATAGGGTGGATTCGGGTCCATCCCGTCCAGCTTCCCCACGCTGAAGGTGGTTGCTGGAGGATGCCTGGGTCGAGCGAGCACTGATACTTCCCCGTCTGCTTTAGTGATCTCCAGCAGTTTTGCAATCAGGAATTCCTGAGCTGGAGAGAAATTGTACTTAATGCTAGAGGAATACAGCAAGGCAGAATCATGAACTAGCTGATATCTGGATTTGGGAGCTATTTAGGGAGCGTTAGAAGGCCTTAGAGACTGCAAATGGAAAATAAATGGCCAGGAAGGCGTGATAAAATTGGCATTAACCCAATAAAACTGCTGCCTAGTGTTTGCAAGTGTCAAATATGGTCTTGTAGAAGGTAAAGCAAGAAATGTTAGTGAGGGCGGTGAGCTGTGTTTCCCAGATGCTTGCTCTTGGTTCATAGCCTCATAGGATAGTTTGGGTTGGAAGGGAGTTTTCAAAGCTCATCTTATCCAGCTCCTTTGCAATGAGCAGGGACATCTTCAATTAGATTGGGTTGCCCAGGTCCACATCCAGCTGTGTAACCCTTCTGTTGGTGAACAGTAGGTTCAGTGTGAAGAGGGGCACCAGGCAATGCCAGCCCTGTCCCTCTCTTGGAAACCTTCCTCCTTCCTGGTGAGCCAGCCTTGCCATCTACCAGAGCTCTCAGTTCATGGAGCTCCAAGAGATGGGCATCCCCCTGTGTCAGTGATCGAGAGCTCGTTGCGAGGGATGGAAGGAAATCCAGTGAGATGGATGAGCTGTGCCCAGAGAACATTCTTTTCTGCCTTGTTCCCAATGAGCTGGCTGCTTCTTAGAATCCTAGAGTAGATTCCCTTCCCTGCACCACCAGGTTGGGGGGCTTGAAGAGATGCGATGTGGGACGGGATGCTCTGTCTGTCTCCATGGCTTCCTTCATCATTTCAGCTCTAACCAAGAACCTCTGTAGTGCTGAGGGCTGGGTTTCTTTGCATGGAAGAGGTTCTTTAACAACTCTGGTTCGGCATTATACAAGAGGCTATTCAACAAAATCCCCTGTATTCCCTTTCCAGCCCATAACTTCTGTACTCCCCTGCTTGAAGCCGTTGTTTTAGATGAGGACCGCTCGCCCCAGGCGCTTTGGGCAGTGTTGGTTTAGGATTGCATCAAACTAGAAACTTCTCTCTCCTTCATCCTACCTCCTTTTTAGAAGAAATGCCTCTTAAGCATAATTAAAAATGTATAAAATAAACATGTTTCCTCGGCCTGTCCATTGGTCCCTTTCATCTTTCTCCCCTTTTTTCCACCACATGTCAACAGAACACTCCCCTCCACTTTGGATTTTGGGGGAGAAGGATAGTTGCCTTAGCTTTATGCCTTGGCCAACAAGCTTAATACTGTGTTGGCTTGAATATATCCAAAGGACACAGGCTTCTTGTATGCAAATTTCTTCTCTGATCTTTCCTCTCTTCCTCCCTCCCTCCATCCCACCCTTCAGAAATGCGCTTCCTTCTCCCTGTGCGAGGCTCCCTGTGTTGTTGAAAGGTGGTGGAGTCTGTGTGGCGCCTGGGCTTTTTAAGAACAAAATAAGAAATAGAAATGGGGCTTTCAAAGATATCAAAGTAGAAATCTGGAGAATAAGAGCTTGGCTTTTTCTGTTTTTCCCCTTTGGTTCAGAAGTACCAGGACAGTTTGTGCCAGGATGCTGGCATTTGTATTTAAACCTGTGGTCAAAATTAAATCTCTGCTGAGCTGGCTAACAGAGGGCTAAACACAATATTATCTGGGATTTTCCTACTTGTTGAATCTTCAAGAAAATTAAATATAGTCAAATACAGATAGATCTAAATAGTCAATCTGCTTGTTACATACCTGAAATCTTTATGTCCCTCTGAACCTGCATTGAAGTTGCACTTATCTGTAGGTGATATGTTAGAGTTGCACTTCTCTAGATGCGTTCTGCCTGTTTCACACTGATCTCCTACTCTCTTTTAGGTACCTGGAGCCCAGGACCTGGTGGACTTCTCCCCGGTGTACCGATGTCTGCACATATACTCTGTCCTGGTAAGTAACTGCTGCCCGTGACACTGGGGCTGACACTGGGTTGTGGTTTAAGGATATTGTTGGGGTGCTGCCTATTTCATCAATGCTGCTGCAAGGAGGGGGTTGCAAAGCGTTTATCAGTGTTCACCTAGTTAGGAGGTGCATTAGCTGAAGTAGGAAAGAGACCAGTGATGGATGGATTTGGGTAAAACCCACACAGTTCCTTCATGCAGGCCACAGAGAAATGAAGGGATATTTTCTCCAACTGTTGAAGACCCTGGGTTATAATATTGTAGACTACTCACAGAATGGTTTGTGTTGGAAGGGACCTTAAAGCTCCTCCAGCTCCAACCCCTGCCACAGGCAGGGACCCCTTCCACTAGAGCAGCTTGCTCCAAGCCCTTGTGTCCAACCTGGCCTTGAACACTGCCAGGGATGGGGCAGCCACAGCTTCTCTGGGCACCCTGTGCCAGCGCCTCAGCACCCTCCCAGGGAAGAGCTTCTGCCTAAGAGCTCATCTCAGTCTCCCCTCTGGCAGGTTCAAGCCATTCCCCTTGGCCTGGCCCTACATCCCTTGTCCCAAGCCCCTCTCCAGCTTTCCTGCAGCCCCTTCAGGCACTGGAGCTGCTCTCAGGTCTCCCCTTCAGGAGCCTTCTCTTGTCCAGGCTGCCCCAGCCCAGCTCTCTCAGCCTGGCTCCAGAGCAGAGCTGCTCCAGCCTTCACAGCATCTCCATGGCCTTGCTCCAACAGCTTCATGTCCTTCTTAATTTGGGGAATACGTATTTCTTGGTCATACAGTTTTGCTCCAAGAACCCTTCTTCAGGCACAGTAGCTTCAGTGCAAATGGAGGAGTTGCAGGGGGCTGATTGGTGTTAATGTTTTGTTTGCTGTGCTCAGGAGAACTTCTCTCTCTTCAAACAGTGTCAGGAGCAGTTTTGCTGCTGTCCCACCAAACCCACCGTTTTCTGCATCACTCCCAGTTTCCCCAACAGGCTTTGTGTGCACTGAAGAACATGGCTAAAAGTGAAGCTGTTCTGTGGTGGTGGTTGGTTATTGGCTAAAAAGTGTTACTTTGAGCAGTGTCATGGTCTTGAGAGCTTTTCAAGTGAGCTCCCATTAGGCTGCTCCATGAGGTATGTTTCTCCTAGGTTATGAGTACATAAGGCATTGCTTTTCTTATGTATAACAAGGGCAGTTAAGATGCCCTTTGTATCCTACCCTTCAACTTCTAATTTCTGGGATGCCTCCAGACATCATATGAGCCTTGCATCTGCAGACCCAGTGAACCTATGATGTTTGCCCCCGTTCTTTAACATCCTTTGGAGGGAAGGAGCTTTCGGGGGGCTCTTCTCCTGCGGTTGAGCAATCTGAAGCGCAGGCAGCAGATGAAAGGAGCACTCTGTTCACAGCTTTCCTCCCTTTCCACGGCGGAGCCAGGCTTGAGAAGGAATTGTTTTCAATGCACTTCTAAAGCCAGTTTCTAGCAATACACACAAATGAGCCTGCAAAAGGAAAAGAATTGTCATGAAAAGCATTTATGTAAAATCTTTCTTTTTTGTGCCCTCATCTGTTAATAATTAGGCATTTTGGCTACCCTGCCATGATATTTTATTGGCATGACAAAGTTAACCTACCCAAAATGTGTTACTGTGTTTATGTTGGATAAAAACCTCCTCCTCAGGCCCAGCACTGGGAGCCCGGTTCAGGGAGTTGCTAATTGAAGATTACAACTGGTCTGAAATGCATTCTGGATTTCCAAGTGTCACTTTATTTGGAGGAACTTCAGTGAAGAAGATGGATAACGAAAACAGGATTAGGAATCCTGTTTGTGTGGCTTATGTGCATTTGTTTAATGCACTGGTGTTTGTTTAATTGTGTATTCATGCATAAAGCTGTTACAAAAAGAATGAAGGGCTTTTGCTGGTGGGTATCACAGTTCTGCCTGTTTGAAATGGTCTCATTTCTTCACTGGGACCTTGTTGTTGTCTGGTTGCTTTACTTTTTAATCTCAAGTAGCACTTGGTATTAGGGAAATGCTACTGCTACTAGACAGATTTAATGGCCAGTGTTCTGTGATGGGTCTGGGTTGGGATTGTCTTCTGCTAGAGGTGGGAATAGTGCAGCGGGCTTGGTGATGCTCAGGCTAAACCTGGCGCAGGGGTTTCATGCCGGTGGGTTAGCATCCTCTGTCCCCATCCTGAGCTGAGGTTATTCAGTCCTTGTCCCCTTACTCCTCTGTTTCAGCCCAAAGCCCTTGTAATGAGTTAAAATAGACAGCAGAGCTCTAAAGAAGGTGTTTTGGTGAGAAAAGAGCAAGAGAGAAAGGTAACTATCCGTTGTAAAGGCTCCTGAAAAGAAAACTGCCCTTTTGCTGACCTGTGATTGAATCCTGCTCTGGCTTTCTAGGCCCGACTTGAGTTGAACAATGTCAAGAGATCCAGCGAGCGTCGAAGGAAACGGCCACATCAGTGTCAGACGGAAGGATCATAATGTAATAGTTCCCCAAAACTCCTAATATTTGTCATTGACAATAGCGTTATCTGAACGCTTGGCCTGCAGTTAAAAAGGCCCACGTTGAATAAACATTGAGATATTTATTATTGGGAGTGAAATCGACCTTCCAGTCACCTCGGTTTTATGGCCGCGCCGCTTAGAAATTCCCAAAGGATTATTTGAAAAATCCTACTCCTATCTGCCAGCCTTATCAGCAGGGCAGGAGTTCACATATTGTAACGGGAGGTCAGGCTGCGGTCATGGTCTTAGAGAGGGGGCCAGGCACCTGTAAATCCTTCCTTCGGCAACCAAGGCGAAGTACAATATCAAGCAGGCAAGGAGGCTTTTCCAGGAAACGCTGAACTTTCTCAGGAAGGGCAGAGGAGGGGGAAAGAAAGTGAAGGAAGGTCGAGCGGGGGTTAATTGAGCGTTGGACCTTGGCGCGGTGGCGGCTCCGGGGAGGACAGGCTCTGGTGGGATGCTTTATGGGACTATTCATCCACGGGTCCTTTTCTTGTGAGAAACGGGCCGGGCGACGGTGCCTTGAGGAAGAAATGGGCATAGGGGAGGCTTTGAGTATGTGCAGATCGCAAACAGAACAGCACAAGAGTGTGTTTGTGTGCTGTGCTTGCAGTTGTAGGCGCACCGAACCCTGCCGTGCGCTCTTGCTCTTTGCTCTCATGACTGGGTTTTTTTCCCAAGTGATGCCTTTACCCTGCCTGTATGCACCAGGTACACTCTGAATTGTGTGGACAAAGGCTTTCAGGTGACAGGCTGGGTTTCTAGTTGGTGCTAATTGGTAACCACTGCACAACCTTAGTGTCTTGATGGAATCCCTGTAATATTAGACACTCGTGTGCTGTCCGTTTCCTAGGAAAATCATAAATCAGACTAGCTGGAATCATGGATTATGGCGGTTCTTCAGGTGACAGGAGCATCATACAGAAGAGTTAAGGCGGGGGGAGCCAGGACACATGAGTCTTGGGGCCTGTATCCTTGGTCAGTTGGCCATAGTCTGTCTAGTTTTAGCTGATCGTAGACTAGACCCAGCTCAGTTTCTGCTCATCAGCAGTGTGCTATTTAAGGACATTCACCTGCAGCGTGGTTAGGCTGTTGGTATCAGGTATTATCTTTTCTTTAATAGAGCAGTTTGTTGAAGATGGTAATGTTATTATTATATAAAGAAGAAACAGGAATATTTCAGTGAAGTGATTCTGCCATTGACGTTTTTATCTTTTATGTTGTCTTTGACCCAAGTCTGTGTAATGCTTGAGCTGCTTTGATCGATCTCCAAAATAAATTAGGAAAGGTGAGGTTTGGGCCAGCTGGTTTATCTGCTGGAGCATCTGAACAGCTGTTGGGTGCCTTGTCTTTCAAGGCCAAGACATGGAATTGCTTTGCTTTACATAACACAAAATGAAAAGCCGTTTTTTTGTTTCATGTTTCCCGTAAGCTGTAGCAAAGCAGAAAGCAAAGAGTGAACCAAGAGGAGAAAGGAATTTAAAGTAAATAAATGGGCCAAAAAAAGGCAGTGGTTTGCACACAGGGTGCTCCCAAGAAGTTGTCTCAAAGGCAGCTGATGGTGATTTAAGTCACTTTAAGCTCCTGCTCCAGCCAGTGCTGTTGCCTGTTAGGGTTTGCCTTTGCTAGGTGGGTTTCTTTAGCTTTATGCTAATTGCTTACCAATTACTTTGAGGTTCTTAACATGTTCGTGAAGACACTGGTATTGACACTCCCAGCTCTTTGATCCGAGCTACAAAGGGGTCATTTTAGGGTAAAGAACAAGTGTCCAAAAAAAGAAGAGAACAAGAGAACAGATTCTGGTGTAAATACAGGCTCAAAACTGCGGCTGCCTCCGAGCTGATGAAGGATTTCTGGAGAATCCCAGGGCTGGATAATTTAGATAAATAGCAGTTGACAGGTATTTACTATAAATTTGTCGTATCTCGCCACTGACGTTTTTATCTGCTGTAGTGCTTCTACCCCGAGCCTCTCTGACCCGAATGCTGCTTTGATGCGTAAAATACATTAGGAAAGGTAAAAAAATATAACAAAACAACCCCCACTTTACTAAAAATAATCGATAAAATGTCTTTAAATTGCTATATTAAAATGCAAGCGTTGTGTATAGACTGTATCCACTTGGTACTTTTTTGCTTGCCTGTTTTTGTGAAGAATATAATGTTTTATCAAGGCCAGGCTGGACACAGGGGCTTGGAGCAAGCTGCTCTAATGGAAGGTGTCCCTGCCCGTGGCAGGGGTTGGAGCTGGATGGGCTTTAAGGTCCCTTCCAACCTGAACCGTTCTATGAGTCTGTATCTCTTAGCTGTGTGGAGCCAGCACGGGTTTGGGAGGAGAAACAAGGGTTTATTTTTGCTTCCCATTGAAATGGCTGCGTTCTGGTGGAGGGGGATTCTTCAGCTCAGGGACTCAAGGTGAACTCGGGGGCTGAGGAAGGGAAACACCACTTCTGTATCTCCAACGCCGAGCAGATTTCATTTGAAGTGGGAGATGCCGCAAATCCGGCG